CACACTAATAATTATAGCTTTTTTTGGAAAAGTTATATTAATATATCAAGTGCAATCAGACCACTTTGATCTGCTATTTCATTAATTTTCCAGGATTATAGTCTTCTTAAGATTGTAAGTATCTTGATAATCATATGTGAAAGTATATCACCAGTAAGTTCTCTCTAAAGATGGGTCTCATTCATTTCTAATCTTAATAATAATGAAATTCTCTTGCAAAGTATAGTTATTAAAATATTCATTAATGTCATCCCATATTTGAAAGACTTGCCTAGAAAAAGGTGACATTATTAGTAGTGATGATGGAGGAAGAGAATTAGTGAAAGGATAGATTTGGATTAGTATCCTATAAAAATATTGATAGAGAAAATTGAGAGTAATATAATATCTTGTAGTTATGATAGCCAGATCTTTTTCCTCATTATTAGTATTATTGATGGACTGTATTTTGTCACCATTATTAGGTGATATTGTTTTGTCACTGCTGTTGTTGATGGACTGTATTTCGTTACTATTGCTAGGTGATATTATTTTATCACTACTGTTATTAGTAGGCTGTATTTTATTATTATTACTAGGCTGTATCATTTCACTACTGTTGGCCTGTATTTCATCTTCATTGCTGGACTGCATTTTTCATCATTGTTAGGCAGAAATTTTTCATCATTTCCTTGCTAAACTGTGTGCTATTTATTATTGCTATTTTAGTATTCTCATGAAGAAGAGTAGGTTCACTCAAAAAAAAAGTAGCAAGATTTTTTTAATCAATAGGTCACATAAAATATGATTGTGTCAATAATCATATTGTTATATGATAATCACTATGATTAATTAGAAAATCATGTGATCTGATTTTGTCACCTGCAGCAACAAATACATTTTTTCTTAATTAAATTATTCAATATTAGAATTTATTTAAATATAAAAATTTTTATTATATATCTTTTATAAAATTTTTTTATTAATAATAACTTTTTAAATAATAATATTATATTATATTAATAATTATAGATTAGTGCAAAAAGATTTATATCTCAATATAAAAATCAAAAATTATTTCTAATAAAAATTATTCAAATTTTAATTAATTTTTATAATTTTTTTATATTAAATAAAAAATAATTTATATTAACTTTTTATATTATTTTAATTTAATAATAAATATACTAAAAAAAACTAAAATAAAATTATTTTTTTTAAAAAAAATATTTTAAATATTATTACTATTAATTTATAATATTAAATCTTCAAATTATACAAGTAGATTATTTAGATTTAATAAATATATATTCTAAATTTTATAAAAATTAAATTAGAAATTATAAAGATATTAAAATTCAAAATTAAGTAATTAAATTATTTATTATATAATTTTTATATTAATTTTAATCAATTTTATATAGCAAAAAAAAGTGTAAAGTATAAATTTTTTTGTATTAATCTATATTAATTAATAAAAATAAAATATATAATTTAATAAATAACTAAATATATTTATATATTATAGTTTTATTTATTATAAATTTTTTTATTATTAATTTTATTAATTATTAGTTTATTTAATTTACTATTTAATAATATTTTATAAAGCTTTTTATATAATAATTTTTTATAATTAATATTATTTTAATTGAATTCAAATATCTCTTTTTATTTTTATTATTTATTATATTTATATAATTAAAATTTTTATATTTTTTATCTGTTTTTTATCTTAATATTAATAAGATTATTAATAATAGAAATAAGCTTAATAATAATATTATTATTCTTAATCTAATTAATAATTTTAGTCTTTATTTTTTAATTAATTTTAAATAAAACTTATTTATTTTTAATTATTATAATAATTAAATTAAATATTTTTTTTATAATATTAAATTTTCTTTTATATTATTATTTTTGAAATATTTTTTTATAAATTCTTTAATAAAAATATAATTATTCTAAATAATATCAAGAAAAATTAACTTTAATAATATACTTTATTATATTAAATTTTAATTTGAAATTACTAAAATAATTAATTTATAATAAAAATTTATAATTAATAAATTTATATATTAATATTATAATAAAAGCTTAATATAAAATTTAGTAATTAAAAAAATTAATATTATTATAAAAAAATAATGGCAGATAAATTATAATTAATTAATATTAAATATATATAAAAATATAAAATATTATATATAATATTATTATAATATAAACTTTTAGTAAATATTTAATAATTATTTATTATTATTTATTTTATATTATAATTTATTAAATAATAAATAAATATATTTTATTAAATATCAAAGATAATTATTTATAAATAGTTATATAAATATAATAATCATAATAAAGATATTATAGTAAAGTTAATAAAATTATTATAGTTAAATTAGTAATATTATTATAATAAAACTAATATTATAATATTAATTAAATTAATATTATAAATATAATAAAAGTAATATAAGTATTATAATAAAAGTAATATTTATAAAATTTTTAGAATATTATTGTCATTTTTGGTGTCTCTTGAAAAGATTATTTTGTGATAGATTAATAATTTTATATATAATATTTACTAGAATAATATATAATAAAGATATTATTAATTACAGGTAGGAGAGACTAATATAATCAAAGATATAATGTAATAGATATTAGATTATAATTATAATGAGATTAAAGATAAGTAACAAGAGTGTGTTCATAATATGATTAGCTAAAATAAGATCTGAAATCATAATATAAGGAATGTATAATAATAAATAAGATATTATTAATAAAGATCATGAATTTATAATATTATTATGTTTAAATTATTATTTTGTTTTATTATTATTTAATTCATTAATTTATTTATTATTTATTAATTTATTTTATTAATTTTTATTTAATTTTTTTTAATTAACTTTTTGATTTCTAACTAAGATATATTACTTTTATATATTTTAAAGATTTTATAAATGATACTTTTGTTATGATCTAAATATTACTTTTGTTAGTGTTATAACATCAGTTTTATCATAATAGCATTGTTAGTTTTATTATGATAGTTTTGCTAACTTTGCTATTATAATTTTATTATGAATATTATGCTTATAAAACTATCTAAAAATATCTATCAATAATATTATCTTAATTAATATAACTAAATAATTATCTAATAAAAATGTGAGTATAAAATAATTAATATTAATAAATTATATATAAAAATCTATATTATAATAATATATAAAAATAATATATTTTAACTAGTAAAATAGATAATTAAGTAAAATTTAGTTAAGAATCAACTAGTAAAATTATTTTATTAAGAAATAACTTTTAAAAATAAATTTTTAATTAGTAATCTACTAGCTATTTTATTAATAAATTATTTATTTAAAAATATACTTTAAAATTAGATTATATTATTTATTTTTAGATAAAAATCTTTAATAAATTATAGTAAATTAATATTTATATTCTTGATAAATATATTTTAAAAACTTTTTTAATAATATTATAATAAATTTATTTTTAGAATAAATTTTATATTAAAAAGATAATATATATAAGTAAATAGGATTATTAATCAAAAAAATTATATGATAATAATATATTTCTTATAATTAATTAATTAAATTAATATTTATTTTAAAATTTATTAATATATTTTTTAATTTAATATTTTATAATTAAATCTTTCTATAACTATTATATTTAAAAAAGTAAATTAAATAATTAAAAAGAAATACTATATAATTATAAAAAAATTATAAAGAAATTTAATTATATATTAAATATAATTAGATTTTTTTATAATTATATCTTTTTATAATTATATTTCTTTATAGTTATTTAATTTTATTTTTTTAAATATAATAATTATAAAAAGATTTAATTATAATTAATAATTATAATATATAATAAAATAAATTAATAATTATAATATATAATAAAATAAATTATAATAATTCTTGTAATTATAAAATTAAAAAATTAATCTTATTAATAAATATAAAAATTTTCTTTTTATATTAAAGTTTATAATTTATTAAAAAATAATTTTTAATATAAAAATAAAAAATACTTCTTGATAAAATTATAAACTTTAATATAAAGAAAATTTTTATTTTTATTATATTTTATTAATAATATTAATCTTCTAATTTTATGATTATAAGAATTATTATATTTAATAAAATTAAATAATTTATTAATAAATATTAAAACTAATATTGAAATCTGACTTTGTTTTTAATTAACAGTTATTATAATAAATTAATATAAAAATAATAAATTTCTAAATTTATAAAGTAAATTATTATATATAGTCAAATCTTTATAAAAAAAATATAATCAAAATATCCAAATTTTGTTCTATTATAAAGAATTTATAACTAATAAATTAAATTGGTTCTATAAAGTTCGCTTGACAAGAGATATTCTTTATGAAGAGTTTTTAAAGATTTGACTATATTTGAAAATTATAATAGTAAATATTTAATATATTATATAATAAATTTATCGATCGAGCAAATTTGGTTTGATAAATTAGTATAATTAAGTTCAAAAATATTCAATTTTAATTGATGGCGCAGCATTGGATACTTAATTAATTTTGTATTTAGAAAAACGATACTTATATTTCTTAACATATCAATCACTCCGTATGTATTAAAAAAATTTTTAGAATGTATTTTTAAATTAAAAATCTACTATTTGTAAAGTTTAAAATAAAATTACTAATAAAAATTCTTATAACACATAATTTTAAAATTAAGTTCGCGTTCGTATAACTCATGATTGATATTTATTGTTAAAACTAATATTTACACAGGAGAAGGGAGAAATTGTAAAGACAAATGATAATGCAAATAAAGAATGGATAAAGTTAAACTAAAATTGTAATATTAGATGTTAGAATAAATGAAGAGACGAGAGTAGACGATAAATGATAGATAGAATAACGATACAAACGTTAGTCAAACAAGTCCAATGAGAAGAATTGAAAGCGTTTAAGTTGATGCTTCAGAAGCTTTCTTTGTCCTTGAGGTAGTAGTCTTCTTGGTAGCTGATCTCTTGGTTGCTGCGGTTTTAGTGGTTTTCTTTGGAGCAGCTTTTTTTGGAGCGGCTTTTTTAGTGGGTGCTTTTTTGGGAGTCGTTTTCTTAGTGGTAGCTGTCGCTTTCTATTAAATTGGATATCATGTTATTGTAGTTCATATTACAAGTGATCTAACAAAATAAAACATACCTTTTCAGCTTTAGGCTTGACTTCCTTTTTTTCCTTCTTGGGTTTTTCCTTCTTTTCGACTTCTTTCTTTTCTTTTTTGATGGGTTCCTTCTTTACGAGTTTAATAGTGCCACTTGGTCCTTCGTTGAGTAATATCGAAAATTAGTACTGAAGCAAATTTTAAACGAGAAAATATAGATGATCCTTACCATTATTGAAGGCGAAAAGCTGTTTTTCAACACCTTTGTTAATGGCAAGCTTAATGCGACTAGTAGTTGTTGGATTATCGGGTAGTTTATGAGTATTCAGGATCCATTTCTTAATGGCTTGACGGCTAAAGGGAAAATGTAGATGAGATGAAAGTACTAATATGCAAAAACGCGGTAAAACATAAATCAAATGAATTTAAATTTATTTTTACCTGCTACCCTTTCGTTCTTTCAAGGCAATAATAGCGGCTATAAAAAGAGAGATCAAATGCGTTTTAAGCTATAAGCATAGCATTCCAAAGTATTTGTCGACAAGTTCCTTTTGAAAACATACCCTTAATCATATCTTCATATTTAGGGTGGGTGGAGGCCGCGGCTGCTTTTTTCGGCGCCGATTTTGTTTGTGTAGTTCTACCCATTATATTAATTTATGCGTTTGGAAATTTATCAAATCGGTGTATAACGAATAGTTTATATTGGAGGAAAGATACACAGGTCATTTTTATACCTATGAATGTGTGGCGATTTGTTTATCTTGTTCTCACTAAATTTGGCATTCTCGACTGTTTTCATTGGCTAAAAAGTCGCGTTAATTATCACGTTAATAATACATAATGTTACATAATGTTTATTTGTCAGCTGACGAATAAACCGAATAAACGCGTCTTGTTATGAAAACAATCGCGTGATTTTGTCGAACGTGTTCGTCTTGTCAAGATATCAATGAATGATAAATTTATTTGCCAAGCTTCAAGTCAATAAATAAGGTGATATAAAATTAAGATCTTTATATAAATTATTTTGGACATGGAGCCTCAACTGATGCTTTTAATAGTTCGATTTCAGCTGTATGCTCAATTATGCGTGACTTGTAAAAATTGATTAAGAACACATTATTTGATATGTATGATGACGAACCAGTACTAATAAAGTAAACTAACAGTTACCTGCAATTCTTCATTTTTCCCTCTAACTTTCCCATATTCCTTTTCCAGTTTTTGGTAATCTCGATCAAATTTGCTACGTTCAATATTCCATAATTTCATCTATTGATATTGATAATGTTGACAGCATATCAATTATTGTAAAGAAATTATTTATAATCGATTTAATACCTGCTTCGAAAAGACTGAATCTTCATCTTTAGATTTGTCAGATAACTTTCGTAGCTTAATATTCAGATCGTCAATAATCTGCAATTTCTCACTAAGCGAAGATATTCCAGTAATATAATATAAAAAGTTAATTATCAATGCTTAAGAAAAATAAACGAGCAATGACTCACTTAATTAAAGCTTTTAGTTTATTGATTTCTTGATCGCAAGTCCGTAATAACATTTGCAACTTGTGAAAATGCATAACCAAACTTTCCATTTGTTGCTTTTGCTCTTGAAACTTTAATGTATCTTCTTGCCTATAAATATTAATTAATTAGCCAATTATTTACCTGAAATTTACGTAAAAATAATAAACTAACCAAAGCAAGAGTTGTTTAGTCAATTGATAATTCCGACGTTTTAATTCCATTAACTCCTCAAGTTTTTGTTTTTCCACTTTGAGCTGATTTTCTAATGCGACCACCCTAAATGAATAGAGCAACATAAATTTTTTTCGAGGGAAATATGATAATCATCTCATTAGGTCAAAATGAAAAAGAATATACTTTGAATTTGAATCATCAATTCGCTTATTTTGATCTTCAATAACAAGCTATAATCGCCAATTGCCATATTTTAATAGTAATAATAGCAATAAAAACCTGTACCATCACACCAATTTTACAATCGCATCCTTTTTCGCTATTATCACAACCTCTTTAAATTCACATATTTTCTGATCCCAAGGGTGTAATTATACTGATAATGGTCGATTAACCACAAACCTTAGCCTCTGCCAATTCCTGTGACAATTTATCCATGCTAGATTTCCATTCCCTCTTTTCTTCTCTTAAAGCTTTTAATTTTGTGTGTAATTCACTTTCCCAATGTGCTTGCTTTTTCTTGTTGCTAGATGTTTCCGATTTTTGTCTATCGAAAGCTAGTTGAGTATTTGCCAATTGTGATTTTAAGGTTCGACATGTATTATATAAATTTTGTCGTTCTGCCTCAACACTGGCGTCTAATACATGATCACGATGAAGACGTCCTATGTGCTGTAGATGCTGTTGTTTTAAATAAAGCTCAAAATTCAATTCATTTCTAAGTAACATTATTTCCCGTTGAAGAAATGAAATAGTTGCTGCATTATTTGAGGTTATTTGTGGTGGTGTTGGTGTTGTTATGTTCATTGCATTAAGTTCAGGCTTAGCAGAAACCGAATTTGTAGGAGCGATTATTTGTGATGACTAAGTACATAAGAAAAGATTAGCAACTAACATCAATAAAAATAATTATATTCGATAGTTTTCAATATAATACCCAAGGATCATCGCCAACAACTATTTCAGCGCCACTCTTTAATGCTTGATGAACTTCCAAGATATCATGTATTGAAATAGCTTGTGAAGCTCTCCTCGTTTTTTCTTTTTTATGTAATTCATTCAAAGGAAAATCTATATCCTCAACGAATTTTTTGGATTCCTCTATTGTAATTTTAGATTTCGATACAGCAAGTGCGCTTTCTATATCATAACCGACACATTCAGCTACAACATCAGCAGGCTCGAGCTTCATCCATCTTTTGGTATCCGATAATTCTTTCTTGTAATTACTCAAAATTAAATCTGGGTGCAATGTATGACGTCGAAAAAGAGGCTTGTGTGGAGGATTGATTTCAAGTTAATAAAGTTCCTCAAAAAATTATTTAAACTAAATGTAAATTTTACCCGACTTCTGGAACGTATCACATCATCATCAATTTCTTCTGACATATGAACATAATTCATTTCCTGAGCCCAATCAGTAGGATTCTGTAGAAATTTGACAGTGTTACATGGGAACATTCCATATAAAAAAGTAAAAAGTTGTCGACAATCGGGAGGCGTAGATGGTGCAGTATCGAAGGTTGAATCTTATGATAAAATAATAAAATAATCATCTATATTTTTTTTCAAAGCTTTGATAAATCAATTGTTATAGCTTACCAAATCGTTGCCAACCAATTTCATTACTTGGTTTACGCATGCATTTTTCTTCATTTAGGGAATCTTCTCCCAATAATAATGAGTGATTATCATCATCTTCAAATGCTGCAGAGCGTGAAGTTCTCTTGTCCCAACAGAGAATGCGAGTAAATATAATATACAATTGGGGAAGATAGGAAATTACTGATGTATAGATATGAGGCATGAGCATTATTAATGTAGTTAAAGATAAAGAAAGGAGAGTGGTTGAAGTGTCTTTCTTTTATAATAATGAATAAAATCAACGGTTAGTTATTCTTTTTTTGAATCCTTTGTAAAAAAAAAAAGAAAGCTCAAATTTTAAAATACCTGAAGGGAAGTCAATAATGAATCAAAGAGACGCGTCTCTAAGATCAGATGAATATACATGGACTGAAAAATAACGAACAAAAAATTTTCGAATCAAAATAATTCCATCTGCGATATGCAATAATAAATTATAACATGACCAATCAACCTGCCGTCGAATGAATTCACACAATAGAGTCAAAACCTTTAATCGATATTCACGTTGAACGAAATATGTATTCAGCAAGTCAAAGAAATCCTAAATTTGATAATTCAGAAAATATTGGGGTTTCCCTTAAAATGTTTTATTCGTGAGCGGAAATAATTATGCATTAATACCTTAGTTTGCACCGCACCAAATCCTCTAAGCACGCTCTCTAAATTTTGACACCAAAATGCATGCGCCTCCTCTCCTATAGTTCCATCTTCTTCACCAGCAGCTTTTCCCACAAAATCAAACTCTTTTATATATAATTCAATGATTCCAGCCCTAAATTTCAGCACGTAACTAGTATTATATGAACATGATAAAATATCTTGTGTGATCCCTTTTACCTCCTCCACCACATCTTTGTAATATAATGGAGAGCGTAAAACAGGTCGTAAGACACTCTCCCACCAATCTAGTATAAAAGTATCAGGTCCAAGAACCCGAAGCAGTGCTCGTATACACTTGAAAAAAAACACAAGTTTTTCAGAGTCTTGCACCGAATTATATATTGAAATTAACTCTAAAGAAACATTATGAGCCTTCTCAAATTCTAAATGTTCTTGATTTGTTTTGAATACTTCAATGCTATCTAATATAGATTGAAGATTTGGCCTCGAAGTATTTATATTGGTTGAAATGTTGCGAAGAATGTCCTTAAAACTTGCCATTCCCAAAAAGCAAAGTTCAAAGTAACTCCTTATTTGTTATAGAAAACATAAACTCGAAGAAAATATAACTGTTTCCTCAAATGAAGCAAAGGATTATATTTACAAACTTTCTTCGTGCACTATTTATATAGAAACCATGAATCCAAATTTTCTGAACAACGATCAATCGAACGCATCAAATATCGAGATCATGTGTAACGGGAAAATTCCCAAACAAACGTTCGTTTTTTGAACTTCGAAAATTTGCCTAACAAAAAATGTTCCTCGAGGAACTTTTTCTATAACCCTTTTGCTATAATATCCTAATCCAAATCTTAACCCAAACCCAAACACCTAATCCTAAAAAAAACCATTTGACTGATCGATTCGAAACAGTGAATGCAACTTTTATAAATGCAAGATATGACTCTTGTAAGATCTCTAATTATTTTACTCACCCTAAATGCAAACTCTGTCTTGTTTTAATATGTCCTCCAGCGAGTTGCATTTAGAGAAGATTCACTGTTCATCCTGATGTTGTCCCACAAATAATTGAGGATATCGATAATAAATCGAGAATTCAAAAACCTTATTAATAAGAATAATCATTAATATTAATATTAATTTTTATTTATTAGCGAAATTAAACAAATAATCTAAATTTAATTAATTTATGAATAAATAACTTACAGCAATTACAATCGAAGGGACATTGAGGGGTATCTATCAAATCAAAAAGAAAATTAAAACAATGAAAAAATAGCTAATCATAAAAAGATATTTTACCATCACTATCCCTTTTATCATTCAACTTCAACTCTTTGACACTGTAAATTGGTAGTCCATCTTCCGTCCTTTTACCTAACCAAAAAAAATAACATTAACCAAAGTGATTTATAAAATATATGTTATAAAATAAATTATAATAAATAAGTTACGAATTTTAGTTCCTCGAGTATCGCTAAAGCCATCTTCGTCATTTTGCTTCAATTTTCGTTTGGATATTTTTGGTAATTGTGACGGAATTGCTGCTTCCCGTGAATTTATTTTAACATTGTTGTTGTTATGATTTGGATACTCCGTGTTTTTTGTGGCAAATATTTTATCTATTACACTATTATTTTTTTTCGTTGTATCTCGTTTTTCTTGCTCTTCTCGTTGACTCGAAAATTTTGTATTTAATTTCTTGTTCTTTTTCGAGCTGTTATTTGATGCTAAGTTTTGTTTTTGAGTTGGCACATCACTTTTTATTGAATTCGTGCTCATTTTATATCGAAAACTTAGACTTTACAAATTGGAAAGATAATCGCCAATGATTTAAAATTATACACAGTAAAGTATATAGATGTATAAAGTAAATTCGAAAACCTTTTGGTCGAAATTAAAGAGGCTTATAATTCGTGATGTAGATCAATTATCTCATTACGATTATCACAAAAAATTTAATGTGTGTAGCATGAACATTACATAACAAGTAAAAAAAAATTAATGCGAGAGACTACTGCAGAAGAAAATGCAGGTTAATGCTTGATGAATTTATTCTTTAAAAAGATTAGTTCTCAATATAACCAAATTTAGGAAACACAAATTCTTGCATTTTTTTATTTCAACAGTAACAAAATAAATGAGAAACGACAACAGCAGCTATATCGTAATCTCGTTTGTATCTCGAAGATTACATTACATTACATTACATAATAAAAACCAACACAACAACTCATGCGACACTTGTAATAAATTAAAAATGGTCAGTGAACTTTTCTCGTCCCACAAAATTTTCGTTAGTCTGTTTTTTGTAATAGGATTGAGGAAGACTGATTAATGGCGCAATCCAAACATTACATTGAAGATTATTAACTGAATTATCTCTCACTTTTCTCACTTTCTCATACCCTTATTTATGGTTATACGTAATTTTTTTTTTTTGGCACTTTTGGCATTGTTAACGTTAATTCTACATTTTGAAAATAGAATATTACATATATACACATTAAAGTGACATATAATAAAGACGCACTCGATCACATCCAATTATGTCAACTACTAAACTACCCGACTCCAGGACAATTATATTTCATAGATAGATATTACACTATGATAAACATGAGACTTTATGTGAAAGCATTTCAGTCTTGCTGCGCTATGTTCACAGCTTACCTATTTTGATGGATAATGGAAAATTAAACAAACATCGATGATATTCAAATGTCTTTTGTGATAATAATAATAATAATAATAATAATAATAATAATAATAATAATAATAATAATAATAATAATAATAATTCGAGATGAAAAAATATCTGGGAAATTTTAATCTTTTATTTATTATAAGAAATTAAATAATTTCACCTAAATTTTTGATTTTTCTATTAACAATAAAACAATTCATATAATCTTTTTTAATACAACAATACTAAGCTACTCTGTAGCATTTGAAATAAAAATGATGATGATGATGATGATGATGATGATAATGATGATGATGATGATGATAAAAAAAATAATAATCATAATAATAATAAATAATAAATAATAAATATAAATAATATAATGTAATATAAATAAGTGTAAGAGAATCTGTTTACAGTAAAACTACCCGATCCTATTAGTATCCCCGGACTCTGTCCCCGCACCAAAAAGGGAAAAGCAACATTACAGCATTATTACATATTTAGTTCATTTACCGTCATAGTGTCATCATATCATATAGATTTATTATAAGAATGAGTTTGTATTTATTTCTCTACGACACTTATCGTTGACGATTAATAAATATCATTCATATTACCACCAATAATAATAAATAATTATTATTATTGATTGATCTATAAAGCGGGGTCGTTATTTGATTAAAAAAAGCAGCTATAACTAAAAGTATAAAGCAAGAAAACTTAAAAAGCTGGCCATTTTCCTCTCTTTTGAATAATTAAAGGAATTACGACAAAATTCAAAAAGATAAAAAACAGTTAGTTCTTTTAACATTATTTTGTTTATCTCAGTTAATTAGCTTAAATATAGTGAGAATTTTTTTGAATGTTGATAATTATTGCTCTTTTCAGAAAATCCCCAACATACAAACAACAACAAAAACAACAGCAGCAGCAGCGACTAAATCAGCAGAAGCAACACAAATAATCATCATCATTCATCTTTTCTCATCATAATAAGAATCAGGTACCCAATTACCTAATTTGAACCCCACTTTTCAAACCCCGAATATTTATATTCCTATCGATATAATTATTTATTAGATTGATTGATTGATTGATTGATTTTTATTTATTACTATTATTATTATTATTACTCTTTGAAATATTACTTGAAACAAAAAAATTTGTAAAACCCACAGCCCTTACCTTTCCTCTCTTCTCTCTTGTTTGTTCCTTATCTCTGCTTGACTTTTTCCTTCACGTCACCGCCTTCGCTTTATTTTTCGCATTATTCGATTTTTCATTGTGCCCATTACTCTTGACCACAACTCGCTGTGTCGATGCGAGTAGTCAGTGGTTGTGTGTGTAATTATTACGATATCTTTGGATCGTTTAGAAGGTCTTATATACATATACAAATACATACATATATATATATATTCAGCCATCAATATTAAAAAAATATACACTACATATAAATATATTTCCTTCATTATATAAATAAATATTTCTCGTATGGTGGTGACTTGTTCAACTGAATTCCAACTCTGTTCTGGTGAATTCTACCTTTACTGCAACTAGAAATCAGTCTAATCAGAAGCAAAACAAGCAAACAAAAGTATACTATCTTCGAATTTTCTATCTCATATCTCGTAATTACTACCTCTTTAGTCCGTATATATATATATATATATATATATACACACACACACACACACATATATATAATATTATTACTCTTAATTAAATCATCCAACAAAAAAAATCGAATATAAAATTTTCAGATATTTTATTTCCCCCCTTTTAGTCTTTTCGGAACTTGTGTTTCCTTATTCTTCCAATAATCACGCTAAAAAGAAAAAAAAACAATCGAAGCGTTTATTGTATCAATTTTATTCTTTCCCTTTATAAACAACTTGCTTATTTTCAATGATTGTTTTACAATCCGTTCCTAACGATATTCACAACGGTTTCAACACAAACAACAGGAGCCTCGAAATCAATAACGCTACGATTGCGAATTACTCTGCAATCACACCACAAACTATTCCCGCCTCAATGTATCAAACAAATAATACTCGATATCATCAACAACAAACGCATATTCCCCATCATCAACAACTCCCGTCACAATCTTACGTATATCCAACTACACAGGTAGCCGAAGTTAATAATCAACAGTACGCTGCCGCAGTTGCAGCTCATTCGCGATCTTCCTCGACTTCTTCCCGTAATCCACCAACTCCCGATAATAACTCCTTTTCAATTGATTCGAACACTTATTATCAGCAATCACCACAGCAACATCAATCTCAAAATTCCCCGCCAAATATAATTAACACTATCACAGCTTCTCCCAACAACGCTAATAATAATAATAATAATAATACGAATCAATCATCGAATATGTCGGATAATAGTCCCTCATCAATAACAGCTGGCTCTAATTCAATTGGGGTTAACAACATTCTTCCCCCGATATCTGAGGTCTTACAACATCAGAAAAAACAGAAACAACAAAAGCAAAAGCAACAGCAGCAACTTACCAATAATAATAGCAATAACAATAATTCGTCTCCAAATTCTTCACCACCGAATCAAGTGATTTCTACACTTCAAAATCCATCATCTGTCGCAAATGCGCTATCATTAAATATGAATTCAACTCAATCAGTACCTGCGGGTTTTTACCAATCAATGCAATATGATGCTAGTTATGCAGCTGCAGCGGTTCAAGCCGATGGAATTTATGCAAATCAGGCCAATTCTTTACAACAAGTCATCAATCAACAACAGCAACAACAAGCCGTACAGCAAGTAATCTCGCAACAACAGCAGCAGCAAGTGGCCTTAAATCAGCAGCAATCACAGCTTGTTTCAGTAGTTGATCCGTGTACATTACCTCCAATTGTGCAATCTACAACCGGATCAAACGAAATTCAGCCATTGATTGATGCTGCTTCTGGTAGAAATAATTCCTCAATTTTGACTATTAATAATAATAATGTTACTATAAACATTAACGATAATTTTACTTCGAATTCAATAGGTGACTCATCACTTATTAATCAAAATGGAGGAACCTCAAATAACCCCACAACAACCACGCTCACCTATCATTCACAGGCTGCTGCTTCACAAGCCGCATTGATTAATGGTCATTTCTTGAACCCTGCTAATTCAATATTGCCACAGCAACAACAGCAGTCACCTCATCAACGAGGAATAATCAATCGTCGACGATCGGATGAATCGAGTGAATCTACGAAGTTATCTCCTACCATGGATCGTCCTCAGAAAGTGTACTCCTTCGTGTCTTTAGCAGGAATTAACACAAAGAAAAGACCTCGAAGAAGATACGATGAAATTGAACGTCATTACGCGTGTAACTATGAAGGATGTACGAAAGCTTATGGTACTCTTAATCACCTGAATGCACATGTTCAAATGCAGAGACATGGTCCTAAGCGTCATCCATCTGGTATGTTTTCTATTTACACAATCTGACATTGAAGATAGACGCGTTTTTTTATATATCTAAAATTAATTAACCTCCCATTCCGCCCGAAATACAGAATTCAAGGAACTACGAAAACAATGGCGTCGGCAGAAACGCGAAGAGGAAGAAAGAAAAGCTGCAGAAGCCGTTGCAGCTAATGCCGCAAAGACAGCACCATTATCCGCCGGACATCTTATGAATACCAACTTATCGTCGATCTAAAACAGAAATTATCAACAACACAATCATTCGTTCAACCGATCAAATAGCAAATCCTCATCAAATTCTCTTTAATAAAAAATTAACACGAACAATTTTTGAGCTTCGACTTTTTAAGCATTATGATTTTATATATATAACGTACATATTTGGATATATTCGCTATATATCTAAATATATCTACACACATATATATATATAAAAATATATGATGGACAATTAATTATTTTTCATCCACATCTCTTTATAAAATTTCTTTTTTTTTTGGTATTTCTTTATCATCCTTTCCAACTATTATTACAGATTTCGTGTTATCAGAGTACGAATAAGAGATTAGGATTTTTCACGCGAGGCACTACAGATGCGATTGCATACGTATATATATATATATATTTTATAAATAGTGTAAAATGGTAAAATTAAAAAGCGGGAAAATTTAAAAGTTTTTTATTCAGTCTAGATGATTTTTTCTTTTCCCTTGTAAGTTTGTTTTTTTTTTGTTTGATAATATTATTATTGTTTCCCATGATTGATATTCCCTTTATAGAATAATAATGTATCCCTATTATAATACATGTATATATAATGTGTATTTAAATATATGTATGTATTTATAATAACCAGGGATAAAACACGCGAAAACTTCAAAGTGGTGGGAGATGCTTTGTTTCTTCACGTTGATGGGATCTTTTTTTTAATTTAACTTCTTTTTCTTTCTACACGAAATATGATCGTTGTAACACAATAAGATCTCTTCAACGCATTACCGTTACCATTAAATTATCATATAATTTCTATACATCATGTTTTCATTTATTCACAATCACAAGTTTTATATTTTCATCATCCTCACAAAACAAACATACATCATTACATATTATATATATACTTCATACATACATATATACATACATACATACATACACACTATTAATCATATTTTTTTCTGCTTTATGGACATTTTCTTTAAAAAATATTTTTGTAGAATTATTGTCATAACAAAAAAATGATTATTATTATTACCATATTTGTAACGGCCAAAAATGTAAAAAAAGAAAGTTCCAGGTCATTACATCATCAATAAAAAAATTACTTTTAAAAATAGTGATCGATGGTTTTATTTATTATCTATTTTTTCCTTGGCGTGAAATAATATTAGTAATATGTTGATTTTTTAGAGAACGTTAAATCAGAAATGCAAATGTGGCGTAAAACGTCGCAGGGAATCTCAGATCCACATGTACTCACACAAATATAACGATAAGTTAATAATGATAAATGATATTTGTTTGTTCTATAATGATAAATAAATACTACCACATTGACAAAGACACTAGACAATAAAAGAAAAACGGATAACCCGATAAAAAACCAAACCGGGCACTTTATTTTTGAGAAACTTCCCGTAATCCGTTTCACAACTAACTTCACATATATACTTAACGTTAAATCTAATCACAAAAAATTTCTTACAATGCTCATTCGTGATATTTTCGATCAGATTTATATATTTTATTGCCATTTAACATCAAAAATGAAAATTTATTGTAGGTTGTACGAGTAAGTAATGCATGTTGTGATCAATCAACACACTTTAATTAATGTAATATTATTGTGGAACCCTCAACCCTGAAAATATTTATATATATTAGTGTCTTTTCCGTTATCCCCCCGTCATTGGATAAATTTAGGTCCTTTAACGACGAAATTTGAATATAATTATTGTCAAGTTTTTTTTTAAATTGTTTATTATTAGTTTATTTACACTATCAGATTACTTTTTGAAGATGAATAAAAACCGGAAACAACAAAAAAGAGCGCCGAACCGTCGCTTTATTATCATCAGTTTACTATTGGTTCATTTTGTTCATTGAATGGTACCATTTCTATTGTGTATGGTCTTCTTTTACAATAATTATTAACAATAAAGAGGGTAAAGATCTTTCTTTCTTTTCTAGTCTCTTATCTGTAAAGAATACTGTTAAAAAGGTCTCATATTATTTGTACCCCTCGAAAGTAGCCCGGCCGAAATTTTTATTTAGCTTGTCAAAAAGAAAGAACAGACACTTTAAAAATACAATTTAAGTTATCTCTCGGATCATGACTTTCATGAATTTTATCCGGATGACTTAGCATCATATGTCATCAATGGTTCTTTCTATTCGTGGCTCTTTTTTTGATTCCAAATAACAAGTTTTCGGAAAATATATCCAAAATGATCTAATTTTACAAAACGATTACGTGCATCTACCAATACATATATAATATTTGTTTTTTACCATATTTTAAATTATAGCAAATTCGTAACTGTAACTATTACAATCACTATACTTAAAAAAGTGGATTTAACCCATTGATGTTTAACAATCCATATATAGCAACCGATCATTACGGTTTTCACAATCAATGAGGATTTTAAAAATTACCGTTTTTAATTAGATTTTTATATGAAAAGGCTTGTAAACTAATTCAAATTAATATCCAACTATTTGTTTTCTAAGATATTTTTTGAGATATTTAAAGATGTTTAAAAATTAACATTTTCAAAAAATATATTAGGAAATCTGTCTTTAGTCATTAATTAAAGTTGTTCAGCTAATATAATTATTTTCAAAGTATTATTTAAAAATATTGTATATAGTAGCTAACAGAATTATGAAATTAGAGAGGTAATTTTATTAAGAAAATATAATAAAATTGAAAGTTTCTCTTTATATTGAAGTTTATAATTTATTAAAAAATAATTTTTGTGTTAGATTTTATAATTTATAATTTTTCTAAAAGAGTTGCTCTAATTATAAAGTTATTACAAAAATTTTTATAATTAAAAGTGAAAATTTAATTAGAAAAAGTTTTTTTGCAATAACTCTATAATTAAAGCAATTCTTTCAGAAAAAATCTGAAAAAAATATATATTAAATTATAATTATAAAAATTATTTTAATAAAAAAGAAAATTTAATTTGTTAATAATACTAACTTTTTAACTTTATAATTCTATTAATAATTATTATATATATTAAATATATAAATAAACTTTAATTTTAAATTTTTAAAATAAAATTATTAAATTAATATTAATAAAAAATAAATATAAATAAATATTATATATAGTAATTATCAAATATTATATATTATATATTAAACTTTATATTTATAATTTTATTAAGAAATAATTTTTATTTTTATATCAAAATAAAATTTATAAGTTATATTTTATTAGATTTTTCTGAAAGAATTATTCTAATTTTAAAATTAATATAAATTTTTTTTAATTAATTTTATAATTAGAATAATTTCTTTTAGAAAAATAAATATTAAATTATAATTTATAAATTTTATTTTAATATAAAAATAAAATTATTGATTTTAATATAAAGAAAAAATTTTTATTTTTATTCTATTTTATTAATAAATTTAATATATAAAAAAATTGAAATTTTTTAAGAATTTTATTAATAAAATATAATTAAAATTATAATTTTTAATTTATTAAAATAAATTTATAATTTATATAAAAAAAATTAAATAATAAAATACTTAATTTTTTATTAATTATAAAATATATAGTAATTTGAAAATTTTTTAAAATTTTTTTTAAATTAAATAAAAATTTATAAAAAAATAATTATTATTTAAATAATAAAAAATATTATATATATATATATATATATATATATATATATATTAATATTTAAAAATAAAAAAATAATATATTAAATAAAAAAATCTTAGTAATATTTCTTTATTAAAGTTTTAAAAAAATTTTAAAATCTATTTTTTTAAAAATAATTTTAATATATTATTTTATATATTATTTTATTAATACTTATAAATAAAATAAAATATAATATAAATAGTCTTAATTTATAAACTTATAATTTTATTATTTAAATAATATTTAGATCTAAAATAAAAAATAGAATTTATTTATAAAAAATAAATAAATATAAAATGCAAATAAATTAATAATAATTCCTAATTAAAATATATATACAGTGGCCATCAAAAATAATGCAATGCTTAAATTTTTTACTAATTATAA